CCCAGGAAGACCAAAGGGAAGTCTCCTAAGTTGTCTTCTCCATGGGAAGGCCCATATGACATAGTGGATCGTCTCTCAGACGAGATTTTCCGAATCAAATGTGATCGGCGAGGTAAGCCAAAAGTGGTGCATGCCAACAGACTTTGGCATTATCACGGTCCAGGACATTTCAGTTGGGACGAAGTGGACAACACAACAAATGACACTGCTGAAGATGTGTCACCTGAAAAAGCCACTGTTGAAGAAGAAACTCTACTCAGTTTGAGAAAGGAAACGGTGAAGCTCTTGATGAAGTTACTACCACTGATGTGACTGTTATCGATGATAGAACATTTCCTGATGAAGCAGATTAACCCCATATGAAGCAGAAGCCAACGAGACGGAGACCAGTACGGAAGAATATACGTCCCGTAAAATTAAGAGACTTTGTTGAATTGTAATTTTGTGTTTGTAATTCTGTACATTTAATTAAGTTATTGTTAATTGTTATTGGTTTATTGTAAGTGGCTATTGTTCGGGACGAACAATACTAAGGAGGGGGAAGTGTTGCGTCAGCGAGGTCACGTGACTAGTATCACGCCACCTCTTTCTAGAAATTTCCTGTTCCTTCATGAATGCCCTAGCGTTTACTAGATATGTGTCAGTCTTGTATATATAAGACGGTCACAACGTGACGGGGTAATGAGTAATTGAACTGCAGTCAGAGAGTGTGTAATTGAACTGAGTATTGTTGAAGTTGAGCACGTGAGACTGTTGACATTAAATGTATCGCAAAGTTATATTCAGAAAGAATAAACCAGTTTTATTTAAGAAAGGTTGTTGTTTGTTGTTTGAAGTTAAGCACAAAGCTACACAATGGGTTATCTGTGCTCTGCCCACCACGGGTATCGAAACCCGGTTTCTAATGTTGTAAGTCCGCAGACATATCGCTGTGCCACTGGGGGGCTTTTAAGAAAGGACTTGTGTCGCTAAAGTTTCGTCGGAACGAAGTTACGGAAAATTAACTAACGAACGGAGACGTAACAATAAGTTTTAAAACAAGGGATATAACACAAATTTATTCTGCATGCTTGAAAG